CTCGCATAGAAGCCATTGGTGTGGGTGATCGCTCGTGATAAACTTTGTCGGGTTTCCGGTGGAACAACTCGGCACGTGCGTAGTGGATGCAGCGACAGGGGTCTCCACGTATTGCAATCTATACCCCGACGGACAAACGGAATTCGCCGGCTTACAGGAAGCCCGATTCAGACAGCAGTCTACGCGTTAGGACAAACACAGTCAGTCATCATATAATCAATCAAGACGTCCTTCAAATCAAAGAGAAATAGTATCTGAAAAAGATATGGGTATCGCCACTCCAGGCCTAAACACCGAAGCAATCACCCAAGGTCATAAAAAGGGGCATCAAGTGGGAAGGTGAACATAGAAAAAAAAGAAGAAGAATAAAAAGGAAAAGCATTATCGCATCGACATGGCCAAGGTTGCAATAGCCAAGGTGCTCATGTCTATACCTGCTGTAGTAGCATACCTCGCAATCTTTTCGTCCTCCCGTTCTCTGGGTTCCACTTCCAAACTCCGGTCGTACATGTCATGTACGTCGCCCGCCGCTTGTAAATTACTGAGAATGTAATCCTGCAATTCAGGGACGGGCTGCAGGAGATAGGGGACGTTTTGATACTGCTGAATGTCTCGGATTACTTCCGCAGTTTTGGCGCGTTTGTTGAAGTTGATCAGCTCCGATGGCGTAAGAGATGGAATACCGTCTTCAATGAAAGTCAAATCGGTCAAATAAACACCTAGGTAAATTAAGGTTAGTCTCCGCATCTAAGAAATGCAGGACAGAGGTGGGGTTAGGTCGATCCATCCTAATCTCATACCGAAAAATGGAATGCATGGCGGGTTTGCTAAGTGTAGGGTTTCACGGTATTCGCCGAAGTTTTTCGTACTAGCCATGAGTTTACGCATTTGCTCTAAGATTGTGGACGTGCGGCCGCTAACTTGACCCCATGTCCGACCAAGTCGATGGATCGGCGCCGTTCCGAGGGCAGAGATGATAGATGTCAGAGTAGAGTAGTTATTCAGGGTACGGCATTTCTGGTAGTTTTGTCAGCAATAGCCATCAAATTGGTGGGAAATACCCATACATCTGCTACGTTAACGAAGTGCTTGATGACAACCACACGCTTCTTGACGTCAGATTGACTGAGGATCATCTCCGCAACCCAGTTTGTCAGCTGGTTCGAATGAAGGATGAGAGCTTTCACGTTAGTCGCAGGCTCAGGTTCGTCAGGCCCAACTTTCTTTTGCCACGTCTTATTCAAACATTCTATAGGTCGAATCTTGGAGTAAAGACGCGATTCGATAATTGTAAGCTGGCGAGCGAACTCTGTTGGATCAATGTCCAAAAATTTAAGCTTTTTCATGTTCTTCGGGACAATAGGAGATGGGGCGGGAACCGCTTGTGTAGGAACAAGCCGTTTAACAGTCGTGTCCTGGCCACGAAGACGTTGCTCGATAACCGTCAACAACGGAGGCGAGCCAGGTGTTTTCGTAGTAGCGATAGAATCCTTGGTGAAAGCATGAACACGTTCCAGAAGCTTCATATGCGCTTCATCATTCGGTTCCATCCAAAAGTTTTCGAACCAGCTCTTGAGGATGTTGACGATACGGAATCGAATAGGCTTTTGCTTCCTGTCAATCCACATCTGCATCTCTTCTTGGTTTAGGCCGAACGGAGGCTGGATATTGAATCGCTGGGTTAGCAACTCGAAGAGCTCGGCGGCAGTAGTAAAGGAACGGTAGGTAAGGAGGAAAGTATTGTTGAAAGAAGCATCAAGTTTGTCATGTCGAGTCAGGTGCTCCACTAGTCCTGCTAGCGTGCCACATTTCAAGGTAGGCACATCGTTCTTGGTATCGTAAAATACTTCGCCTTCATGATCCATCTTCAAGAACCAAGGCGTTTCTTCCGGCTCCCGGACAGGTTCCCGGATCGGTTCTCGAGTAATTGCAGTGGGTGGGGCTTGTCCGAAGAATCTCTGGGCCTTATCCATATTGCGCCGTACTTTGTCATGTGGAGGATTGACGGCGTATGAGGATGGGATTCCAATAGACTCGTCCGCAATTTTAGCTTGGGAGTCCGTACGGCTATGCAGAGCCTTCAAACCGTCATTATCTTGACTCTGACGACTCTCGCTACGGAAAGCTGTAGCAGACTCGGGGATCTGCTCAAGCAGGAGAGACAGGGAGAATCCGATTTGAGAAACGTAGTTCTCGAGTTGCCTAGCAACACCTCGCACGGCGTTCAGACGATCTTCGAGAGAATCTCCGCGCAATTCAGCCCATTCGTCACCCAGGGGGCTCGTGACAGCCTGACAGCCAAGAACAAAATCGGCAATCGCATCGTACACTCGTTGTTTCTGTAAACTAAAATCGACCAATTGGGGATTTTGAAAACTGGTTCCCAGAGGCGCCAAATTGATCGACTCGACAGAAGAGATCCAAGGACGAAACTGCTCGATGACCTTGACAGCAGCGGCCGAGACAGAATCGCCGATTTCATGATGCTCAGCAATCGTGACGATCTTCTTCTGGTTAAGTGACAACCGTTCCTCTAGTCGGCGAATGCTCCCAACAAATGACCTCCGCAAAATATCAATATGATCCAAAAGCGCTGCGTCAAGTGGCACTGCTGGTTCAGCTCGAGTGTCCCCTCCATCCTGGTCTAAGAACGACGTCGGGCCTGAGTCATTGAGAGTGACACCGTTATTCTGCCAGCCGCCGCCTGAACAGCTACCTACCACAAAGCCCGGAACGATTCGTCGGATAAAGTCACCACGCTGCTGTCTTGCAATATCGACATAACCATACACTCCTTGCATAACCCCATCTGCCTCTTGTAAGCACTTATTGGCGGAATCCGGGCTTGGCCAGTCAGCCGCGGCAATGTGCGATGAGAGCACTAATTTCGAGAATTTCGACATCATATCTCTAAAGTGAGGGTACAGAGCCTTATTTGTGGAGATAATCGACGGGTTTCCAGAGTGATTGTCCGTGGTGTCAGAACCAGCAGCCAGAAGCATACGTAGATGGTCGGATATATCTTCGGCCTTTCTCACGTATTCCGAACGATCACGGTTCAACAAAGTCCGACGATAGGCCTCGACAGCGTTGCGCATGTTATCAACGAGCAATGGCCATGTCAGGGGAGCCGATGCACCATCGTCGACAAAATGCGAGGGCGCTTCCGAAGAGATAGAAGGTCTGTGGAGGTTGTCGGAAAGCGATGTAGTACTACTAGCGGCGGTGCCAAGGCTGTACGTCTTAGACAGGCTTCGAAACGAGCTCTTCCCTTCATTGATCGATTTGGTGGCAGACGGTGGATGTAAGGAATCCATGGAAGTTGCGGGGGATACACCGTCAATATAGGACTGCCGCCTCCGGGACATAGAATCATGAGAAGCAAGCATCAACGACTCACCCTCCGCTTCGGACGCGGAGCCATCATAGTCATCCTCGTCACGTTCGAAACCACGGGCCATCAGTTCTGGGGGAGGTCTAGTCTGGTTGGGCACACAAAAGGTATTGCGGTCGTAAGGGCCTGTTTCGTTCGTAGACGGGTTTTCGAACGGTAACTCCATGGTGCTGTAGCCGGTGAGGGTGTTGAAGTAGAATAAACGGCCATCGGGGGTCGCTTGCGGAATCCAAAAGGCGGCCTCTTCCTGCTCATTTGGAGGCCCCGTGCCTTCAATAGGCAGTATCGGTTGGGAGTCGCGCGGGTTTCCTGTAGAGTCAACCTCGTCTTCCTCGCGGTCCTCCTCATACTCCTCTCCCAGACCAGACTCCGCACTGATGTCTCCATCCTCATGCCCGTTCGATACATGCTCCTCGAGCTCGCTGAGGTCTGTAATGATGGTGCAGTAATTGCTAGGGAACCAGCCCCGAACGCTGTTGTTGATCACTCCGTCCCACCAGCCGGTCTCCAGTTGGTTCAGAACCTGAATGATATCACCCCTCCGAAAACTTAGACTGGTATGATCGTCGGCATCGTAGTCATACATGGCCCGCACGAACAGAGCCGGTGCTGGTTCGGGACTGGGAGTAAAGCGTCCAGTGGCAGTCATCTTAGTGGGTGATTGATTGCCTTGAGGCGACTGGTTGACACTATTATCTCTGTAGTGGAAAGAAAGGCTGCTTCCACGACTGCGACTCCCGGGGGCAGTCGTGGGAGTGGACGCCTGCTCCTCGGTAAATGCAAACGTGGTTGTGATAGTAGTACCCGCCTTGGTCGCCAGCGCTGATTTAGTGTCGATAACCAATGGCTCTGCCAAACGGGTGTCGTGCATTCCAATTGACTGGGGTAGATACTAAGTAAAATGGGAGACGGTAGGGGGCGGGGGAGACAAAGATAAACTGGTGATCAATACGCTACGTCCCATGCGACAAACGGCTGGACGAGCTTAGCGAAAGGCGTTGGTCATGACTAGATCGGCAAGCAAGCGTCGAAGGATCCGTTAGGAGGGGAATGCGCTGCGGGTTGGTTGCAGAATCACGCTGTGGGAGAAAGGTGGTAGTCGACTATAGTGGGTTCACCGCACGGGTGGTGGCAGGGCAAAAGGCGATAACGATAAAAGTGGCAAGGACACAGTTAGAATGGGACCCAGATATGGCGTCCAGTGAAGATCTTTGTTTCAATGTGAGACTGAAAGGAAGAGTGAGCAAAAAACCCTGAGAATGTAGAAATCGAAGAAAAAGGAGAGCAAGACACCAAGAGACCATCCAGGAGAGGAAGAGAGCGAGTGAAAGAGAGGGTCTCAGGGAGTTTTAGGGGAGGTTCGCAACCGTCCGTCCATTCGGCTGGTGGGCAGTTGGACTGGGCGTGAGTGGAGGAAAGTGACAACCTGCAATACCGTCTGGTCCGTCCACCGATTACTATGGAGGGTACCACTACGGGAAGAAAGTCTGTAATTTTTCAATACCACCCTACCTAAATTACCGTACCTCCCCATTTCCTCGTACTCCAGTTACCTGTTCAGAAACGTAACCTATCTACCCGCGGTTGATACAGCCGGTCAAGGAAAGCTGAGAGGGGCACTTTTTGTTCGATAACTTTTTATTTTATTTTAATTTTTATCCGTGGCCCTTTTCTCACCCGCGTCCAGCTGATAAGGGAACAATAATATCGGGCAAGGCGTAGGGATGCACTCGTGTTGGTTGGGGTATAAAAAAAATTTTTTTTTCCTCTTGCTTGTCTTTTTTTGCCACAAACATTCAGCTTGGGGGCTATAAATTGCCCCAAGTCACTACTGCGCCCCGTGTGTGAAGGCCAACAGCCTCATGTATGGAGTACCTGGTAGATTACAGGTAACGAAACCAAATAAGGTCAGTACGGAGACGCGGACCAGCAAGCCAGCACGAGCCCTCTGGACCTTTTGACTTTACGGGCCATGCATAAACTGTTGCCTTTGATGCGTTGGTAGGCGCTTCCTGGTCGCTAAAAAACCTAACCTGTTCCCCGTACCACAAACACCCAACCCTCATTGCTCCATTTTTTAACGGATCACTCTACGATTCACTGCGTAAAAGCGCGTCTGAAGCCTTGGTTCTCGGAACAAAGAGGCTGGAACCTAGTAGGGGATGTCGGCTGCATTTCCGCTTCTTGACGTTGGAGGCAGATATGATTGGGTTAATTATGCAAGATATAAAATGGAGAAGTGGTTTATTTATGTTTATTGTTTTTTGGGCAGAAGTAAATACTCCAGATAAAGTTATAAACACGATCTTCTTGTCCATAATACCTGCTTTCCATGCCTTCGACAGAGTAAAAAGAAAATAGAAACAGCAAGAGAAAAAAAAGACAGGATCGTTTTATTCGTAATGTTGGGTATCTGACCGACTTGTATTTTCACCCACTTGTTGTCTCCATTTCCTGTGGAGAATTTTAGCTCGCGTTGCACTCCAAAAATACTCCGCAACAGTCTCGACTGATGGGGACTTTACGAAATGAATTGGGTCTTAGTAGAATCATATATATTACTACGTATTACTCCAATAATTACCATCACTCTCACACCATAGGAACGCGCGGGAGACCCCGATTGCACCACCGTCGAGCTACAAGACCACGTACCATACATATAGCCATCCATGAATCTGGAGAGGTCTGGAATTTAACGCATGAACCATACCGGACTTATTCGGTATTCCGCTTTCCTACCATTATATGCATGCACATGGGGAAATGTCCTGTGCGTGTGTCTTCCCGGAGGATTAATCACAATTCGATGCGATGTATAGTCCATGATTTGCCTCTATGTGCGGCAGGTCGCATGAAGGCGCCCAATTCATGATCAACCGCAGTGCCACTCGCCATTTTCGGATAGTAACTACCGAGTCCAAGTCACTCAGGGGGGACACTTAGTGTCTTCAACTATCATTATGGGTAACCATTCACAATGAAATGGCACATGTTCTAAATCTGCCAATGCCCTATTAAACTATGCTGACAATAGCTTCCTCACACGAGCCCCACACCATCGCCCGTCCATCAATCGCATAGAGCAACCCTCTTTCGGAGAAGGGATTATACGGAGTAGAAGCTTCTATACGAGCTTACCCATGGAACAGAACAAAGTGATGTAATTCTGGGCCTGATACTGGAGTTTGGCGTCAAATTCCCAAGGAACAAACCCTAGACCGTTCAGGCTGTATATGCGGCAGATCAGGGGGCTTTTAGGATTTCTAGAACTTATGAGCCGTTACTATTAGTTAATTAGTTAACCTTCTTTATGTGATCCGCAATATTAATTGGCGGTTGAGCAAAGTTTCTGTAGCCGGGCTTCCTTTCTCGGATTACCTTAATTTTGGGATTCCTGAACGTACTTCAATATACAGTATACACCCCATGTGATCTTTACAGTGTGCTATGAGTACCAAGTATTCCCCATTGATCATATCATGTACGGTCCAAACAACCACTATCGATTGATAGAACCAAGATCGAAGAAGTCCGCGAGTCACTTGACACACAACGCAACGTCAAAGCAAGTCATACCACCTTGCAGGTGAGCTGTCAGACGCCACATAGGGCGAAGTTTTACTGCGTTCAAAGTCAGTCCTATCAGACCGTTGCAGGCACCCAATTGTGATATATAGATAGATAGCAAGTATCTCTGTAGTTTTCCAACCGGAATCTTACTCCGGTAGCTTAAGCTACATCCCCGAAATGGAAATTCGATCCCTCAATTTTGGAGAATTGACCCTCAATATATTCAACCTATCATGGTCCTGTAACCTCCGTGCTGTTATCGCTCCTTGCCTCCAGACCAACGTTCTAGGCCTGCTGGGGAGTTATCACGATATAGCATCAAAAGTACCTTCAAGGCCATCCCCATCAGTATGGAGATAGTCATTTCCACCTCTCGTACTTTTGGTCAGTGATCTCGTTTCCCCCATGGCCTTGAGTTACTGTAAACCCAAAATTCCCACAGAGTAAGTGTACTCCGTACCTAGATATCCAGCATCATTCCAAAACTGCCAACTCCTCCTCAGCAACCACTACACCTTCGATTGCCATCCACTAACCCCCGAACACGACCCCACATGTTATCATATCTCCTCAATATCCCATCATGTCATATTCCAATATCAATATAACCCCAACAACGCCACAAACGATCGAGCCCACCCAAGATCCCAACACCAACCCCCCAACCCAAAACACCCAGCACTGGCCCCAAAAACCACGTGTTTCAACGCCCGAGCCAAATACACTTTACGCATGGCCTTGTTTCGCATTTGCCGACCACACCATTGACGTGCACCGCAGCTGCCCTACGCAACTTTGGCCTCCTGAACCTTGAGATCAGGGCATTGTTCCAATTGCCCATGCGTTATATATGTCATAATATTGGTTACGGAGAGGAGTATTATTGGGGTATTGAGTTTCCTTAGCTGTTTGTACTTTGTATTTTTCGAGATTGGAAGGGTAAGAGTGTTGGGGGTGGCGAAAGAGGCATATCGGGTTTGGCTCAGGAATGGGAAGGATTGGGAAACGAGATTGCGGGGTGTGGGGTTGGGCTTCGGGGATTTTAGAAGATGGGGATGGTTAATGAGGGGGCGTGTAAAGGAAGAAGATGTTTGTGGTGTAGGTAGAGTATCTGTTGTGTCTAAGAGATCTTTCTTGGAGTTCTGATACCTATATCTATATCGTTCGTATGTCTACGATGGCAGGTGAGTGTTGACATATTCTGTACTATATAACGAAGGTGTACATAGTTATTTTTGATCTTGCAGAGCTATAGATGTACACTATGTATATTGCTATTGGAAAGTTATAAACTACACCTGCCGTCTCACTTTCATCACCTCAATATAGCCTCGTTTCCGTGAGCAGCTTCGAAGGATTCCTACCGTGGCAGACTTACGACAGGATAGCCACAAGTCTGGGCCTCGAAGGAACACTATCTACGGAGCATATTATACCTTATATGTCGTTGGTGCCGAGAATAAGGTGTGCAATTGTGTGCAATGAATCGTACCAGAAGCAGTCATGGCCACTGACCTAGGCAGTAGCAACTCACAGCCACATATAGAAGTCACACGACCATGTCTCATCCTAATGAGATGGTCAGAGACAGTACCGGCATCATATCTTTGAGTAGACATGCATCCTCAGTCGTCGTCATCGACGCTTCTGTAGAACTATACGCTTCCTCCTCTAGAGTGATGATTGACTATGCACGGTGCCCACGTTGCTGAACGACCTATATAGTGGAAGTATGCTCGATTTTAGCATATTCCGATAACATATCAGCTACAGCAGACGTCGCAGAAAGTGTGTCTGACACTAATGCTTTACTCTGGGGATTCGTCGGAGAAATATTCAATATCATACATGGTCCCACTGGGTACAGTACATATATTGGAGGCAAGATTGAGAGTATTCTTGGCTTTAAAGTGCATGAACATTTGATCTTGGAATTAATTTACAATTCATACATGGAAACATGCATTGGTTGGCACTCTACCATCCTATCAGTGGATAGAACGCCAAGATGAAGCTGATTTACTCTAGCCATGAGCTGGCAGGAACATTGCATGAGAAACCGCGGACGGCCAGTACATCGTCACAGTCAAAAGTCGAGAGCAAAAATGAAGAAGAGGCGCTCTCTCTAGTTAGATATGTAGCTCAATGTTACTCTCTTCCATGTGTGTTTCTTTTGAACTGGTGTCCAGCTGCAGGCTATCTTGTATGTCTACTTAGTCACCCTCGAGTAGAGGAAATCTGAGTACGAATTTGGGATATATTGTCTTCTGTCAACTCTGGAAGCCCTGCTAAATGGCTGTTATATGCTTTGCAGAAAGTCTCTGAGATGGTATAGTAAATTATCAATTGTTTCCAGGGCATGATGCTATTGCACATGACCCCAAGATGGACTATGCGTATACATTGGTGACAGCGATAGGTCACTGGATTTCCCTACGCTCGAACTATATGACTTTAACTAACCTTTACGTTTATAATACTTGCATACTGTAGTCAATGACCTGCTCCAGAGTACTGATAGTAAAGTATAACTGTCCCTCGCCCTATAACAATCGTCACCCAACATACCATATCCAAACACACAACCAGACGAAGCCACACCCTGGGAGCACGAAACTCCCATGAAAGACTACAACTCAATAAACACACAAAAGTAAGACAAGTATAGCCTCCCCAACTCGACAAAAGCCCCGAGACACCCAACTCAGAACCTGATATACACCGTAATCTCCCTCCTTGCAGCGTCCAGTATAAAGTTAATCAGCGGGGAAGCCGATAATCAGGAACACATACCAAGATATAGACAAAATATTAGCAAGGGGAATCCCCATCGGAAGATGGGTGAGGAGGGGGGAAGAGAAAGCCCCTCACATGCAATTGACAATCTCTATCCCACGATGGAGTGGATGGGGCTGATGAATTGAGTGAGTGCCGATATAGCCGTTGCTTTACCAACTAATTGTAGATCCCCCTGACGGAAACGACGGCTGCCCAAGTTAGTTACTGGGACTACTAGAGAAATAAAGCTATGGGTACTCCGTAGTCCGTAGAGGATTAAATTTGGGTATGGGCAGTGTTATCTCTTTAGTGAGTAAGTCGATAGATGGCCAGCACTAGTAAGGCCTATACGAGTGGTTTATGCAGAAGGTAATCGTACGGAGTACAAGACTTCCAAACCTCCGTATAAACCTCTAGGTTCGATAGTATTCAAAGTATACATCAACCAAACACAAGGAAACATCCACGACGCAACCCATGGCCATGGGAATGGCAAAAACCCAACTACTCAAGGTTCCCGGTAACTTAGTAACTTCAACTATGCCTCACACAGCACCAGGATCCTTCCCAGGTGCACACGCCTATCGGACCAAAAAGGCCATCCGATCATCCCGCAAGACTACCCCTTACGAAAAACCATCCCGAAAGAAAACCAACATATTCCGGATACCTTGTCTGGTCCTTCCCTATCCAGGCAAGCGAGCGAGCATGCATCCGAAATGAACCAGGGAAATTTCGATAGTCTCAAGGCTGAATCGGTGGAACTCGAGTTTGTGCGCGCGCGCTCCCTGCCCCTCCCCCTTTTTTTTTGGCTTCGCTCCGGCCCCCCTTTCCAACTTCCCGGGAGACGACGGTTGGTCCAGAGTTTGTGCCGGATGTCGCAGAATCGACGCCTACACTCTTCCAGAAGCCTTCTTTGATTCCAATCGGCCGTTTCTGGTGGGGAGTGGGAGACGTATATCGGTGATTAGCGAACCGGTTGGTTGGTGTTGGTGGTTCGATGTAGTTGCCGTGGGGTTGGTGGGTTTTTTTTTTTTTTTTTTACGAGATCACTTGTTTGATAGATGAATGCTCGCTTTTGTGTGGTAAATTCTTCTCAGGACGGTATTTATTATTCTGTGAAACGTTATGTATGTACGTATTATTATTATTAGCATACTTCGTACATGAGAGAGTAACGATTGGGAAAAGCGGCATACTTCAGTTGTCCGTCTGAAACATGCAGTAACCTCTTCCAGAGATCGAGTACGACAAGACAAAGAGCTGAACACAAACCTCAAACCTGGACACACGCATCGTAAGAACTAGACCTAAAGAGAGAAAAGAAGGTCATTTCAATAGACATCCTAGCAGTTATGTATATGTAGCAGGCATCTTACGACTAACCAAGACGTATTCATAGCTAGTACTTCACACAGAATATATAATTCGAGTAAGATCATCACACCAGGCGCCGAGAACGCACATATACGATCAACCATTATTAATCTACCCATGCAAACCTATTACGAACTGCCAAGTATACAGAGAATGAGACAAGCGAGTGCACGCCGAGTTGGTCTCACCAGCCTGTCGTGTTCTCTGGAGACAGCTTTAGATCTGACATGTAAGTTCAGCGGGTGCGAACCATGGAACGCCACTTGCTCAAGTGTGGACAGACGGGTAGATTCCATGGTTCAGCTCTATCAAGACTACATTTGAATGTCATGAGGAAATAGTAACGTGCTACAACATGTATCTTGGTGAATCAAAAGATGTTTAACTAAAAGGTGTTCTAGAACCTATTGGCGAGTGGGTAGAAATCGCCTGATGCATTGTATATTTCGTCTAGCCTGAGGCAGACTTAGGTTTCAATCCAGGTTAGCGAAACCGCACAAACACTAGTTGTTGAGGTCGACAACTTCGAGAAGAAAAAAAAAAAAAAAAAAAAAAAAAAAAAAAAAAAAAAAAAAAAAAAAAAAAAAAAAAAAAAAAAAAAAAAAAAAAAAAAAAAAAAAAGGGAACGAGCGAGGGAGGGGAAGGGGGGGATGAGAGAGAGATGCTACACTAACTGAAAAAGATCTAAATTGGGCGGTGGCCCTCTCTCTTACTGTGATCTTTTTCGATCTGGAGTGGTTCTGGATTTATTTTCCTTTTTCTCTGGCACTTACTAACCAGTGGGGACCAACGAAACCCAACACTCCAGTTTCTCACTGCCATGTGTAATATATATAGAAGCGGTCAAGGAATCAACAAAGGGAAGATATGATCCCCGACAACGTGCGCCCTATCGAAGGAAATTGCCCAAACCTGATGGCCAGCGCTCACCGACTCCAAGGCTATGACTTGTTTAAGGGATTCCAGACCGATATTCTCTCCCCCGCCAGCGAAGGGGGGAAGGAAGAGAGGGGGATTCCGCTAGCCTGCAGTTATTCATATCCAGGAATTCTGGCGAAGTTGCCGGGACGGCAGCCAAAAGGCGGTTTGCATGCTGCCGATGCTCACTAGTGTAGGGACCGGGGTCTTCGGGGAAGAGGTTCCTGGGATCCTGCAACGGTACCTGGTGGGGACGGAAATCGGAATGATGGAATTTCATGATTCAAAAAATTCATCTTCTTTGGGTTTTCCACTCTTTTGGAGCGATCGACTGGCCGTAGATCCATTATTACATCTGAGACTATGTGGTTACGTACCAAACTATAGGACCGGAGGGATGATAAAGACGGGTAGCTGCAGCAAATCAAGTCGCTTGTTGAGCGCAGGAGAGTCCTCAAGGTTCCCAACTCTTTCAGATTTAACTTTGACCTTTTTTCTTTCTTGCTTCTTTACCCCTTTCTGGAACGGCAGTGAACACGATGAACGTGATGATGATCCGAGTATTAAAGAGAAACAACGAGTGAGTGATAGACATAATATAAACCACCCGAAGCGAAACCCACCGAATCATCTCCGGAATGGGGGACCACACGCCCGGAGAATATGAGCTTGGACTGGAAATGATCGATCATGAATGGATGGATCGGTATGCACGGAGGATTTTGCACTATTTTCTTCTTCTGGTCCCGTGCGCGAGCCTAGATCGATAGTGATGGGACGGGGTCCGCAGGCCCTGCAACATCGAGTTTCTCTCGTATCCTGAGGCCATAATTGGATCTGTACAACAACGCATGCAATCTCTATCAATCAATACCGACAGTGTTCGAGAAAGCCGCCATATCCTCGACACGAAACTTAGTTATCCACCAACAGGAACCCATGGTCATCAACTCCGTATCCTGGGCGTTTCTGGGTCGGACCGCTGCATGACCGGGAAGTGGATCGAATAGAGAGACTCAGAGAGAGAAAAGAGAAATCCCGCCAGTTGCCAGGGTAGATTTTTGCGACGAGTTGTTCAAGCTCGAAGGAATTTAAGAGGCTGGACGCTTAAGAGAAGGACAAATAATGGGTTCTTTTGTCTGACCCGAGGCGCAAATCTCCTTCTCAAAAGAGTAAGCTTGCCGGCTCACCGCTCTCTCCCTTCAACAACGCTGGCAGATTAAAGCGGTGAGGTAAGGAAAAAAGTACGTACATACATAACTTGTCTTGGTGATAAACTAACGGCTTACAGTGGAGTGTGGCACTGTGGATATATGGGTCCTGCATCTGAAGACCGCGGTGGGTGCTGATTGTCGAGTATCAAAAGTAGGTGGGATAGCGGTGATGCCAGGTCGTGGGGCCTGCGACAGGCCCAATGAGGGGTAATACATTCTACTTCGTACGCGTTGAAAACCACTATCAGGATAGAAGATAATATTCTTCCTATGAAGTGTACTGTACAATTTGTGTGAGCGCCGAAGTGATAGTGACGTCGTCGCGTAAGGTACACCGTTCTTGTGGTACTTCTGAAGTCATGTGCGTTACCCTAGTAACTAACCGTGTCTGACGGGCTCCTCGGGCTCCCAACCCCTTCAGTACTGGAGGCCCCCACTGGCATGCCGGGATTTTACGGAGTCCTTTTGATTGATACTTTGTACTTTATTTCTACGAAACCATCTTCGTTCACAATGAAAGGAAGAATAAATTCATCTAAAAATGTATTCCATCTAATAGTTCAGGCAGATGGCAGCCAGAGAGCCGGTTACCGTCATGACCTAGCTTGGAAAGCCTAAGAAACTTTAAAAAAAGGGGGATGAACAAGCACACGGATGCCGAATTAGCGACGATGACACCAGCAACAACTCATCTGACCTGGAAACGAGAGGGATGTACCCTGTAAACTGTCCCATCGACGGTGGAGCTCTCTTGGGGGCACGCGGAACGAAGGCGCGTCTCCGAGTGAGGCTGGGATTAGGCGCGATTGCGATTGCTGGCCTGCAGGCAGCCACAACTGACCGAAGCCAACCAACCCGAAACTAAAACTAAACTTTGTCCCTTTCAGAACAGATCCCCCATGCCGTTGATGCAGATGGGATCAGGTATTCACAATGCACCGTCT